GGGAAAGAGGATAAACAGTGGGTAGTAGATTCATTTAGATACAGATAATTCAGAATATATAATCTAGTTTGTATGCCTTTGGAGATGAGGAAAAGCATTCCAGACCTTATATTTGGTGATTTGTCTCCCTTTTAATGAAGAAGTTTACCTCGTTTCTCTGTATATCCATTAGATCGATATGCAATTGCCTGAGTTGTGTTAAGTTATCGACAACTTAACTGTTGTATTAAACATACTCAGACTTCTCCCACGGTATCTGGAAGGTGTTATTCTTTGGAAATCTATGCTGATCTCTTCATGCTGTGTTTTTTGGGGTTTTTTTGTTTTGTTTTTTAATAATTTTGCTATTAATAAAATAAATGAGATAAAGCTCTTCACTAGACATCAGAGGATTTATTTGTTGTGAAGTCTGATACCAGGATGATAAGAGAGTTCCTGTATCTAAGTCAAGCTGCGAATTTCTAAGTGGGCAGGCTTCCCCAGTGCGTCTTACCTTCAGGTTGGACAGAAGCTCTAGAGCAGAGCTTAGTTACGTTTTGACAAGTCCATGTCTGCTCAAAAGGCCATTAGACAAAGAATTGTCCGTCACCTAGGGTAAACCACTTACTCTGGTTGGTTTGTTTTTCCTGCAGTTCAGACTGAAATAACAAATATCAGATGGGAATGAGGAAGAATGAAAGGAATTTGGTTTTCTACTAAGTGTCCCCTGACAGCAGTTACTGAAGGTTTTAAGAGAGAACTTCTGTCATTTAAGAGTGGGTGGTCATTGACTATAGAGATCTCCTCTTCTGGAAAGAGAGGAATCCTCCATCTTTGGTGGAGTGTGGAAGGAAGCTGTTAAAGGACTTTGATCCTTTCTACAAGCTTTGAGGAAACTGAAGGAGAGGAAAAATGTAAACATAGTTTTCTCTTTCCTTTGCTTGTGTTCTTTATGCTAGCTAAAGTAAAATAATTTGGAAACCATGATGGAATCTCTTGTAGTTTGCATCAAACGTTGTTCCTAGCAAAGCGGGCTATTCACCAAGGATGCCAACAGAGAAAGTCCCTTTGCAAGGAACTTACTGGTGATATTGGTGTCTCTAACTGTCAGCAGTGGGTTTAGAGGGATAGGAGTAGATGGGCAATGGAGCTCACTGTTATGAAAAGGCAATGAATGGAATGTGTTCCAAAGAAATATTCAGCTTGCAAAAGCCCAGAAATGTTTAAAAATCATATGCGTCCATGCCTTCTGAAACCCAGTAGCAAGCTAATAAGTATTCAGAAGGGGAGAAGTTTGAGGGCTGTGGGCAAATTAAAATATAAGACCCAATTCTTTGTTTAGATGGTCTTCAATTTTCAGTCTTTGAGAATGAAGTATAAATTGATTGTCTTCCATACTATAATTTAGTTTTTCCTTTTAAACAGTGGCTTGAAAGATTGTGGAGTGGAAGGTTGGAGAGAAGCATTTGTTCCTTTAAAGTCGTCATTGTAGGATTCATTATCAAGCCTGAGTACTCCGTTAGAAAATGTATTTCTCTAAGGATAGTTGTAAGTCAATCTGAAGTATGCTTCCTTGTACTGCTGAAAATATTCTAGCCATAATATCTGGGTGGTCTAGAAACGATGTTGAAAATTCCTTTTTGATAGCACTTACAGAATGAGCTCATTGTTTGCATTGCCCAGCAGCCTCTGTTACATTTTATTGCTGTCAGACTCTAGTTAGATGCTTGGTATCAATTACCATGTAATATCTGGAAGTCAGAGAAGTAAGTTGTTCGTACTTAGTCTGAAGTGTCAGGATGGAGGAGGTACTCTGAAAGAGCCTTTCTATATCTTTCTCTTCATGGAGAGCGAAGTATAAACTTACAGACATAGATCTGGCCCACGTACTTCTTCAAACTTTCAGGAGTTATTATATTAATGATTTTTTTCTTCTCCTCTACATCAACGCTATCACATAGAAACTAGCCACATTCAGCTTGCTAACTGTCTCTCTGACCACTGAAGCTTTTTTATAAACTACTCTTGCGGGCCCTGGCACTTTTTCACCTGATAAATGTGCCAGGCAGTGCTCCCAGTGGAAAAAGCACTAGCATAATGAGCGTTTTAGAGTACTCTGGAGTTCCAGAGGAGTGCCGGTTAGAGGCTATATATAGAACTTCATTTGCTTATTGCTGCAGTGACAGTGACTCCAAGGCTCTGGAGTCTCACTGGAGCTCCAATGCTCCTTTGTAGTTCTTTGCAAAGATTTGGTCTCCTAGAGGTGCTCTGTGGTGCTCAGTGTTTGGTAAGTGCTGTCACAAGAATGTCCTGTGGTTGGGACACCAAGCTTCTTACTGTAAATGTCCAGCTATGCTGGAGCTTTGATTCTGCGTGCCACAGGCTAGTTCAAAAAGCTGCTGGATTGAGCCCTCAAGACTCCTCACTAGCAAGCCCCTAAGGGATCCAGTGAGCAGGTGCTTTGAGAATTTAAATCTTTGGCGTTTTTTGCCTCATATGAATTGGCTATAAAATATCAGGGAAGAGGACTTCATATGTGTTCAAATTATTCCAGTACTAACTGACTCTGCAGTAAGGCAGATGTTTCTCTACAATGCCAAACTTCAGAGTGTGCATGCGGAGTTCTGCTCTGATTGTCAGCTTAGTGCTGAGTTAATTGATCCTGAGCCTCTGTACAGGTGTCTGTTCCCATCAACATTGACAAGTAAGTGCATAAAATCTCTGAACAGTGAACAATCTCTTGTACTGGAGACAAAGGTGCAAAATAAAGGTTAGAACCATTTTTATAGAGATACTCACCATCCCTATGCTTGTAAAATGCTGTTGTGAATGTCTACTGCTTCTAGAAGATCATGGTTCTCCTTGGAAAGGACTTGAGCGTCAAGCTTTTGAAGCCCAGTGTGATGATAGCTGTATTCTATAAGTTAGAACAGAGGTCCCATATTGAAGAGATCTTTCTTGACTGAAATACCTGTATACTTTGGGATTCTGAAACCTTTGTGCAATAAAGTCTGGTTCTTCAAAGCATTTTCTTAAAATCCTTTGATTTTGGACTTGTGCCATGTCTATTAGGGACATTGGGAATAGGGTACCTCTCGAGAACGCTTGTGAGTGGTAAAGCCCCTTTCTCTGAGAAAAGAGGGTGTCATCAGGTAAGAATAAAGCCTTACAAATTTGTCTGTAAGAGACAAATTTTTAGCTCAGCTTCACTTTCAGCTGTCATACATTCTGTTCACCTTTTTTGGTAAGGATGAAACCTCATGATTTCAAAGCCTGTGGACATGCAGAGAATATGAATCAAGGTGTCAGCAAAGACTACAGAGTGAATGTGGGAGTCATCTGTTCTCTAGATAATCAGAAAAACTAAATGTTGTTCATCTACCTCCTTACTGTAATACTGCATATTAATACCTACCCAGGGTTCATATCCCGCACAGCTGGACTTCTTGTTGCCGTCTTTCCAGGAAACGTTCATTGGAAATTAATGCTCTTCAGCCATCTGTAACAGAAATTTTGGCGGGGGCCTGTTTTCAGGTGGTTGATCTGGCACGATGTTAGTCTACTGCCAGGGAGACTAGACCCTTTATATAAGTTCTGATGGAAGGGATTTTTTTTCTTGTCTTTGTTCTCGTTAAAGTAGTTCACAATATCTTTTGAATTATTATTATTTGTTAGTGGAGGAGCAAGTGGGGATCTCCCACATGTTCTTCCCATTCCACAACCAAAAAGAGGATTTTATATGCCTAAGGATATTTTGTGCAGAGATTTCACTCCCAGGTGGAATGACATGAAATCCAGTAATCAGTAACTTTGTTCACTGTTTTAGGTCGATCGTGTACATCTATCTGTGTTTTTACTGGCTTTCTTGGTAGTTAAAAACTGTACGTAGACCAAACTTATCTGTTGTATACTTACTCCTAGAATGCGAAAGTGAAGAAGAGAACTTTTTTGCAGTCAAAAAGGGGCTTGTTAGAGGTGTATCTTCTGCTATAACCCTGCAGAGCGGCTTGTTGTACCTGACTGAATTGTGTTTGTTCTGGAATACTAAACCCAAGAGTTGCTAAATACATGTAAAAGCAGCAAATCTGAGACCCAAAAAGTAATAAGGAGGAACCAAAGAGTAATGATGATGGAATAAACTGTGAACTTAATTTGAGTAACAAACTTTGACTTTTCCTTAAAGTAACTTAATGGCTTTTTTTGCTCTGCTCCTTGTTATAAGGAGTTTGAGCTTTTTGATTTAAAAAATGGTCAGAGACTAGACGCGATGCCTTTGTTTCTTTAAGGTTAGACTTGGCAGCTGACTTCATATGGTAGAAAGAGGTCAATCAACGGCAAAAGAGATGTTCAGGTGAAATTAAACCGTTATGCTGGAGCTAAAAAGTTACTGTAAGTCACGCTTAGTGTAATAATGGTGTTATGATAACTAATTTTGGCTTTGCATTAACTGACAGTGATTTTCTTATTAGTAGTCGCCTCTCCTCAATTGTTCTTAAGTGTACAAGCAGAAGAAAGCAAATATTAAAGCCTGGATTTTGGAGGTTGACTGGTTATGTTGTTGGAACTATTTTTAATGCAAGTTCAATAAATACAGTTTTTGAAGGAAAGTGTCATTTAAAACGTTTCTACTTGGTGCCCAAAGTAGTCTTTTGAAAAATATAATTTCATCTACTGATAGGTTTTTAGCTCAGGAGTTGTTCTGGCTGTGTAGTGTGATTTAACAGACACTAGAGAAAAGAACAGAAGGAAGACAATGAATAAAGTGGTTTTGCCTCATTCCTACTTGCTTTGTTGACATGCTGGGAGCAAAGCTTGATATGTAGAGAAGTCATGACAGATAAATGTTTCAACCTCTGGAAGGATCCTTATCATCTTGTTACCTTCCAAAGAAGACCTGTCTCTGCCGTGTTGCATGCCAAGGAACTTCTCTTGCTAGTGCTGATTGGAGAAGGCCGCCTCTTCCATGCGGACGCTAGTACTGACAATGGCTGTGGGTGCCTTTAAGTAGCGGAGAATATGCCGATACCCTGGGCAAGTCAAGTATCTTGTGGTATTGGTTGTTGCTGTGGTAGTGGTGTCCTGTTTTTAGAGGAGAAATAGGATGTCTTGTTTGTTATGTCTCACTGTTGGTGTTATCACTGGATCAGACGCAGGTGAGAAATTTACTTGAAAGCATGAGTTTGTACAAGAAAGATAATGGACAAAAGATCTTTTGTAAGAAGCAAAAAAATACTGAAGAAAATATTTGAATTATATAACAATTAGTCTTCAGACACCAACATGTAATCTAGAAATTCCATTTGCGACACCTTTATTTATTGAAAACCATCTTCAACCTGTATTTTTTTCAGGTGCCGCTGGTTGCAAGACAGGCAGGAATTAACACTGGGACAGCCATGTCAAGAGGATTGTATCATCCAGCAACAATCTTCATGGGCCGCCAAATGTCAGCCATCTCAAGCACTGAAGATTTCAGTACACAGCAGAAATCTTTCCAGCCCATAAAGAGCTTTTCAATTTCTGACCCACATTCATGCAGACAGGCAGCACAGAGCAGTAATATGACAGACAGCTATGTAGTACAAACTAATAGTGATATGCAGTGCTTAAATAAGCCTGACAAAATAGATGTGGAGACAGATCTCCAGATGGGTGAGAAAATGCCACTCACATCCAGCATGTCATCTGAGAATGGAAGAACTCACTGCTTAGCAATAGAAAGCAATGCAAATAATGGCCGGATTAATTTAGCAGAGAGCAAAAAATCTGCTAAACTCAACTCTCCGTTGCATCAAAGATTAAATCCAGAGAACAGAACCACTGATTTCAAAAGTACCAGTTCTAGCAGACCAGTAAAGGAAGTAGTGACATCTGAGCACTTTGTAGCAAATGAAGAAAGATCTGAACAGCCAGTCTCCTTGGTATCTACTTCTGAACTAATTATTTCTGAGAAAGAACATCTACAAGAAAGTTTACCAGGTATGACAGAGTGTGTGTCTGCAATGACTTTGTTGTCTCTAATCATTCATCGGGTTTAGAATGCGTGTGTACCATCTGCAGAGTTATTTGCTCTGTCGTGATGCTTAAGAAAAGGGTGTCTGTCTGCCAGAGTGGTTTTTGGAGGAGTGATATAGAAAGACTTTATAGATGTGTTGAGCTGTGCAGGAGGTGTTGTGTTTCTGTGGACAGGGCACTGAGTCAAGAGAGACAGATTCTGTTCTTACCTGGCAGTATTAGCAAATCGCTGTCCCTCTGTTCCCTTTTTCTTCCTTTGTGTTGTTACTGTTTAGCATGCAAGCTCTTTTGGTTTTGGGGCACTGATCTTGCTCGACATTTCAATAACATGAAGTAAATTGCATGAGTTTGCATTGCAGTGAATAGCTGGGAATGCTGAGGTGAGGTCAGTGCAACTCCAAAGCTTGGAGCTGTTACTACTGGTTGTGGCAATGCTGCAGTTCTCTATCTGTTTCACATCAGGCCGCTTAGCAGTGGACGACGTAGAAACGCTCCTTTATTCCTTTTCTTTAAATCCTTGCATAAAACCTTTTCCCCCTGACTTTGCATGATTTGTGCGTGTGGCTGTAAAGGATCTGTTTCCTGTGTTATGCTGGTGGATCCCAGAACAGTTGAAGTTAGATGGTCTCCAGAGGTCCCTTCCAGTCCAACCCCCTTACTCAAGCAGGGTCACCTGGAGCAGGCTGCCCAGGTCACTGTCCAGATAGCTTTTGAATCTCTCCAGGGATGGAGCCTCCACAAGCTCTGTGGGCAACCTGTTCCAGTGCTCAGTCACCCTCACAGTAAAGAAGTTTTTCCTGTTTTGGATTATAGTCTGTTGCAGATGTTTTGGATTATAGTCTGTTAGCTGTACACCCTCAACAGGGTGAAAAATGTGCTGGTTTAACTAGTTGAAGTGCAAGCCGTAGAAGTATGCGTCATGTACCTGGGGATGAAATTGGTACTTGGATGTGATCTAGCCTAAATAGGAATCTCTTTGCTTGCCAGTGTTGGTACCACAAAGCAAAATTTTTCATAAAAATAGATGGGGAATCACATGGGCAACTTCAGCTGCTCAGTGTAGCTGTGAGCTGGTGTAGTGTTGGTGGGAAGGCCTCACCCTTCCCTTCTGCTGTCCAAGGTCCTGGGGAACATCTGGGACAGTGAACACGAGCCACTGCAATGTGCCTGCTGCTGCATCTTTGGAGGGAATCACATTTGGTAGATACCACCAGAGAACTGTTGATCTTTCTTCAAACTAGATACCTTTCTTGTGTAAGGGACAAGAATTGGAATAGGAGGAGGCATGGTAATACTCCTCCTGAACAGACAAGACACAAACCCATGGCTGCCAGGTTTTTATTTTCCTATTCCTGTGGTATTGTGGTTGCAGCACAGTGGTGCTCCTGTTTTCTTTCTCCTCGCTTTATGACTTGGCTTCCTCCCAGGTCATTCATCTAGATACGCAAAGGCTTGTTGGGGGACAAATCTGCTCAGATTTATTTAGCTCCTCACCTGGGGTATTCAGAGGATATACAGTTCTGTGTTTCTGCTCTGCTGAGGGCACTTTTCTCGTCTTTGGCAGGCAAAATGGTGGTTGAGTCTCTTCAGCTCCGTTTCTCAGGATCTTGTATTCTTTTTATTCTTTACCATGAGTAGACAAAATGAAGGAAGAAGAGAAAGCGAACAGGGGACGTGCAAAGAAATAATTTAAAGTGAGTAGCTGTAGCTGGGCTATCTATTCCACTTTGTTCAGAAGCGCTAGGCCTTCTGCAGTCTCTCACAGTGCCTCCTACTAGGCTACTTGAAGCAATAGTTCATAGCCTGGCTGCCTGCTCAAGATAGATCTCAATGTATATAGGAAAGGGATTCTCTCCGAGATCACTCTCCTGCTGGGGTGCTCTTACTGAGCTGGCTGTTTCTTCTTTCAAATGTATCTTGCTAGGTCTGATGTGCTTGCTTATCTGTTGAAGGCAAACTGCTCAGATCTACAGTTGCTCTCTTTTTGTCCGATGTAAGGTTTAGCCAAGCCTAATGGAAGACCTGAATTGGAGTCTAATTCAAGCTCCTCTGTTAGAAAGTGAAGGTGATTTGACTGCTGTGCCCACAGTTGTCTTAAAATGAGGCTCAAACTAATTCAAGAGGCTTAATTTTCACTTACCTCTCTGGGAAAATGTTTGTGTTTTCTATTTTGCATTAATTTCCTTCTCTTTCAAAAGCTTGGGCCAAATAGCTCAACCATTTCTGAAAAATGAGATTTGGAAAAATAGATTAAGAATCATTTTTTTCACATACTTAGCCAAATTAACTACTGGTTTGATTATTGTTCTCCAATTTGTTCCTTGCCTTGCTAAGAAGTCAGATGCAGTTACTCCTAGCCAAGGTGTTCTACTACTAGGACAAAATATGGTACTTCCTCTTGAAGGCTAGATCCCCAATTTTTTTTTCCCCTCCTTACCATTTTGGCAAAACATATTCTGTCCTGTTTTAGTAGCTTGGTTACTAATTTTCACAGTAAGCTAAGACTTGTTTTTAAAGTCCTGGTGACAAAGACCTGTCACTAAGTAACAGTTTATTCCTTTTTAAACATCTTTCAGAAATATTATCCCCTGCCTCTTTCAGTAAATATAGCAATTTTCAAGTTAAACTAGTTTTCCAAGCCATGTAACGGTTGCTAAAATTGAGCTTTTTTGTAATGGAAACTGGTGGCGACCCTAATGATGTAGGCTGTCCTGTAATGATCGTGGTTTTCTTTATAGGCAGAAGCTGGCATCCCTATCAGATGATCTTCTGTACTACTTTTTTTTTCCTGGCATCCTTTTTTGAGACTTTTTCCATTCCTTTTTCTTTCTCCAGGGATTTTATTTGCCTCTCATTTTCTTTCATCTGATGTATTTGCCACATCTCCTTTGTAATGAAAGACTGTCCTTATTTGAACTGGAACAAGACCAGGCCAGCCTGGCTTGGCTTTTGGGCTTTGCAGTGCAGCTTTAGCAGACTGCTGGTTCTTTTGCTCCCAAAAGGAAAGTCTTAGGTGGTCAGTATCATGTTTGGAAAAGGAATACTCATTTAATGCTTGAAATGTAATGTCTCTGCCTTTAGAGAAACCACGCATTTAGGTTCAAACTTAAAATAAGCTTTTTGTCAAACAGCACAGTAATCACCTCAGATTGCCTGGGGGACTTTTTATATCATTCTGCTGCCAAACCCATGTTACAAAGTTAAAAGGCTAATGTAATACAGGTTTGAATTTGTGGATGGGATTGTCTTGTTCCAACTTTCATAAGTTTGACCTTTTATGCTGCAAATTATGGGGAGACGATTAAGAAGTTTGGCTCTGCTTTATGTACCACAATTGAGCATACACTATGCTTTAAGCTGCAACTGGCTATGCAGTGCGTAGAGGTTTTCAGCAGACTTTCATATTGTTCTTTTGCCACTGTTTGGAGAAGGTAACACAAAACATAGGAAGGAAGGAATCTTATTTCTCTCAGAAAAACCCAGCAAGCAAACAGCATCTTCTCCCCACCCCCTCCAAACTGGAGTACAAAACTATATTCCTCCCCTTTTTCGTGTCCTGGAAAAGAATGACATTTGTTGCATGGATTAAATTCATGAGTCTGGATTCGAGGCTAAAATGTAAGATCCTGGCATCATCTACTGTTTATCATAAGTCTTAAGTAATTCAGTTTCAAATAAAACTCTGACTGGAGACAGTCAGAAATGATGGGTACTGTAGCATTAGCTCGTGTGTGAATGCTGATTATTTTAAACCTGTAGTGAATTTTGGGGAAAACTGGGAATTTTTGTGACAATACGAATATATTACAGCAATGTGTGGTTGGCTGGTTTTTGTTTTGTTTTTGCATTCTGGAAACAGATAAGGAAATAGTATTTATTTGGTCTTTTAGAAGTGTAATTCAACCTTATGTCCTCTGTCTTTAGAGAAGGTAATTAACATATGGAGTTTAAAGAACTACAGATGTGTATTGCTTCTGTAAAGTTTAAAGAAATTGTATGACAGCGCGTTCAGATGCATTTTCCCCGCATCCCCCAGCATGCTTTTTCAAGTTTTTCTGGTTCCTTGTTTTCTCAGAGACAGTGTAGTGAAGAGGTGGTCTTCACGCTAATGCTTGTTTTTTGAATAGTACAGGGTCTCCTCTCTCCTGCCCCTTGAATTGCGGACCGAAGAGCTAAGAGCATAAAATCAGACCTATAGGTTCGTTGAACTCCCCCTTGTGAGAAAAGCGTAGAAGAACACGTGGACGTGGGGAGGGAAAGCTGGTGAAGTGGTAGAGGAACACGCTAGCAATGAAAAGATGAGGCAGAATGCCCTTCTTGTAGACTTGTGCCCTGTGGCATCTATCCTTGCTGTGTTGGAGTATTGTTGGAAGGAGATTTGGGCTGCATAGAAAACTTAAAGTGAATGAAGAGTAGATGAATGTTCATTCATTAAATTATAAGTGAAATAGGTGAATATACAAAATCGATCTTTGTTTAATTCTGTACAGTACAATGCATTTCTTGTCATGAGCCTGTTAATGTTTTGAAATACTTTTTTTTTTTTTTTTTTTTTTTAGAACCAGAACATCACGTGAATAACTGTACTTCTAAACAAACGAGTTCAGATAGCAGCAGTGACCTCACAGTTTCTGTGACCGAAGAGGATGACGTGATAAATGCCACTGAACCACAGCAGAGTCTAGAAGACATATATAGCAAGATGGCATTAAAAGCAGTAAGCTCAGAACAAGAAAGAGACACCCGTTCTGTAGAACGTTTTTCTTTGCAATCATCAAATCTTTGTACGGCAGAGGAAGAGCCCTCAGTTAGCTCTGCACCAGAAGGGTATGTCATTACACCTTTTCCTACTGCTGTTATTCATTTGTTAATATATACCCTGAAGGCTGATATATGATGCTAGAACTCACATACAGATGGGCAAATTTCTTAGGCTTTACAGAAATCCTTTAGTGTGGGCCTGGTTTTTGGCTTAGTCTAAGACGTGTGCAATAATGTTATTCATCTGTCTGGTCTTTTCTTTGTGCCCCCCTCCTCCCCCTTAAATAATATGTTCATTAATTTCAATAAAGAACTAGAGATAACATTCCTACCCTCTTTTGAGGATGAGGAAAGACAAATGTGTGCTCCCACTAAGGGGAAAAGCTGTAGGATGAACTCGGGTTATTTCTTCCAGTTGAGCTCCTGTTAGTCGTTAGCATGCACACGTTGGCCAGAGAGTGCAAGTCAGACTTGGAACTTGCCCCTGTATTGACTGCATCTTGCCCTGTTGGCTAGTGGAAAAATTGGTGGGTGCAGCTAATACCACAGCGAAGGTACGGGAACGTATAGCCCAAATCAATGGGAAAGTTTTTAGTATCTTGCTATGTATGTGTTAGTGATTAAATGACTTCAAATAACTCATTCAATTCAGACATGGACAAGTTAAATGTGTTTGTTAAAATGTAATAAATATATTCTTTATATATAAGCAAATTTTATTTTAACATATGTGTTTAACAGTACCTATAATTTACTAAACAGCATACTTTGGTTAAAATTTCCAGCTGGTTAAAGTTTCTAAACATTTCGTTTAGAATAGCTGAGAGAGAGAATGAGAAAAGCATAACCCAGAGATGTGTGGTTTGTTATCTGGAACTGTATTAAGCTGTTCTTTCTATACAACATCAACTGCAGTATCAGAATCCTATTGTAATATTAATCATAGCTAGATTTTTGTCCTTGCAGTGTCTTTATAAAGTAGGGAAGCATGTTCCACATCCCAGTGAGGCGATATCCATTATTAGGATTATCCAAGAGTAAGGTGTTTGGCTCAAGTCATACAGGAAGGTTGTTTTACTTCCTAGCTCTGATAAAACAGATCAATTCAAACTGGTATCGCTTGTTCCTGTGTCTGTTGTTTAAATGCTTCCGTTGTCTTGTGCCACATAAAAATGCTCAATTAGGAAGAATAATTTCTTTGTGCAGTGGACTTAAGACTGCAGGATTGCTATCCTGCAAGTACGTCACTGATCGAGTCTCCGCTTATGCTTCTTGCTGCTTTTGTTGTAGGAGTATCTCTTCATCATTTTTCTCCCGCTGCTTCTCTATCTCCTGGTTCTTCTGAAAGTCTGTTTGCTGCCACTGGTTCCTGTTGCAGTGTTTCATGTCCATGTTCCCTTTTATCCTTGCTGTCCCACCACTACCTTACTTTCCTCCCCATCCCAATTTTAATTTTAACCTACAGTGATTTTGTTGCTGCTGTCCTTTTTCTGCCCGTTCTCCCTCAGCGGCACATTATGTTTTCCTACCTCTATTTTTTCTTCTCTTACTTTCCTCCATACCTTTTCCCCCGTTGGCCACCCTTTCTCCTGTCCACAATCACAACAATATTATTGAGGAAAAGCCTTTTTTGCATATGTGTGCGCGCTCTCTCTCATGTGTGCATTTGCACCCCCTCTCTTTTGCTTTTGCTCTCTGCTTGTATTCCAGCTGGTGCTACTGTCAGTTGGGCTTTTTCTTTCCTTCATTTTGGAACTCTTCATACGCAAAATATTCCTAGCTGAAGTCGTAAGATATATACAGGAGTTGTTAACAGGCATATGAGCTAAACAAGGAATGGTGGCTGTAAGTTGGGGAGAGATCATGCATGAAAGAAAATAGGTTTTTTATCTAGGGAGAGAATGATGAAAGTTCTCTTGCCAGTCTTTTCTGTTTTGGTTGTTTGCAGCCTTTTTGTTTAACACATCTGTACTTCTTATTCATGTTCAGGTCTTATTAGATACTGATTTCAATATTAGCTTGCATTATAATGGATGACAATTGAGGGAGGAAAAAACTAACGGCCATCAAAATACACTTCTGAAACTTTGCAATTTCACATTTGCAAACCTATGTATCAGACTGCTTAATGGAAACATCATCTAATTTGCATCTAAATAGCTTTTACGGAGTTTTTCTTTTGTGTAACACCTGTTAATCATAACGCTTTGTAGGAAAGTTGCATAGAGTGCTTGCCTTTGCTAGAGAAGTCATAGCTGAGTGATGGTAACTTAACCTTTTGTTCTGTCCCTATAGATGTTAGTGATGTCCAGTTGTTCATAAACTGATGAAAATATTGTGCTATGTTCTTGAAGCCCAGCTAAATTATAAGAAAGGCTTTGCTGTTTGCATTATCTCTGGAATATGACTAAAACAGAATGTGAATGTTTGCTCTCATATTATGTCAAGCTGAATACCTTAGTTTCTCAAGGCCATAAAAGTGTGTTCTCTGCTGTTACGTGTGTCTGCAGAAAAGAGATGAAATTTAATTTGTTTTACCTGAAAATTAAAATCCAGATAACTTTCAAAAATTGCAGGTATGAAAGATCTTGTGAAGTGGTAAGTGGTCTTTCTGTGGTTAAATTTATAACCAAGCTTTTTAAGTGCATCTTCCCAAAAAGTGCTTGAAATTCAAATCTATGTGTTTGGATTTTGTAAAATAATTCATAAGTTGAAAATGTTAGGGGAAATTTTCAAGTGATATATGCACTCAGTTACATAAATTACACAACCCTTAAAAATGCTTTTTTTTGATCTGAATGTATAATATCACAGTTCTTCTATTGAAATCCTTCCAGACAGTCCATGTGTTTTGCTATTAAGAAACTTCTTTGCCAGAGAAAGTGAGGAAATTATGCACAACCATTAGTATTTGTTTTCTTAAATTGAAATATCTGCAGCGTGGACTCTTTCAATGTAGCTGTTCATTCTTAAGCAGTGCATTGCTATGGCATCAGTACTAAGTCCCCTTCGTTGCCTTTCTTCTTTGGTCCATTTGTGTACTTTTGGTCCAGTATTTGAAATTAGGAAGAGTGACGGAGTAGAAAGGAGCTCCCATGTGCAGACAATTTTGAGATCATAACTCACTCGACAAAAAGCAAAAACAAAATCCTTGTTGCATGTCAGGAAGCCACAAGTTTGGTTTGTGGAGAAAGATTTATCTTTCCTACCTACCTTCAGAGACATAATTGTAACAAGTGCCCCCCGCCCCCAATAAGCTTATGTCATATTTTTACATCTAAGTGATTATCTCTCTTCAGCCTAGTTTCAAACTGACATTTCCAGCTAGCAACATGATTGGTACTAACGTGATGATACTACTAGGCTATTAACCAAAGAAAAGTGATGTTGCTGTGAAGGCTTGTTCAGTATCAGGCTTGAAACTTGCTTACAGTTAATAGTGGAACTGGGTAATTTTGGTATCTTAGTAACTAAAAATGATAACTTTGACCAAATGATTTGCATGTTTCTGAGCACTGCTGGGTGGATCTGTTGAATAGTGGTTGTACATATGTCTCTTAAAACTTGTACCATAAACTGAACATGTAGGGGAGCCCTGGCTAGAGGTGCTGTGGTTTTGCTGCATCTGTTCAGTTCCTAAACTCTGCGGAAAGGCATCAGCAGGTGTATTGGTTAACTGTTGGGTGTTTTTTTTTTTT